AAAGCCTTAATCTTAAAGGATTACATTTGTGAATAAAAAGAACAGCATGTAGTATCACCCAAAAAAGAGCCTCCAACTTCAATTTTAGGCTGCGTTATTAAAAATACAAGGTCTAAAAAAGTGAAGGTTTTCAGTCCCACTCTATGCTGTACTAATAATTCATTCAACAAACGTTAAGTGAACAGCTCCTAAGGACTGAGCACTGTGCAATACACTAGGGACACATGATCATCCTTGTTCCTTTCCAGTCTGCATATATTCTCATTTAATCCTCACAACAGACCACTCCTGGAACAGTGTGCTCAGTGTGCAAAAATAATCTTCCAGAGAATTTTCTGAAAGAGAGAAAAAAATGTGTTTTAGAAGAAAGGGGTACTAAAACTGTTACTTGGTCACCTAAGATACAGACTTTTCTGCCTATATTTACTACGCAATTTTCAAACACAGGGTCCATAGTGAAGGAGAACACACATGGAAAGAATAAAAGGAATCTAGGGAAGTGAAATGGTTAGGAAGCAATAATTTGAGAAAAGCTCAATATTTGCAGATTGGAAAATTACAGTTTGTTTTCTTTTTAATATTACTAAAGTCATGACCTGGAACGATCTTTAATTGCTAATGTCAGAAAGTTATGAACTAGGCTCTTAGGATTCAACCCTTCCTAACATCAACTTCAGAGCTTACAAGTATTTGTTATGATGAACAAGTAGAGCTATGCCTGAAGAAGATTAGGAAGAACTTGACATTGGGGGTAGAGAGACTAGTTGGGAAGCCAAAAAAGTCTAAGCAAAATAAAGTCTATACTTGGGTTGTGGCAGCAGGAATGGAAAAGGAAAGGTTTTATGAAACATTACCGAAGAAGACAAGACCAACTTTGATAACTATATGCGGATGGAAAATGAAGCAAACACCTAGGTTCCAAACTTTGGAGAAAGAGAATTTAGTGAGCCATGGAAGAAGGTACAGATTTAGGACAACAGATGGATTTAGTTTGATATATATGACTTTGAAGAGTCAGCAAAACACTCAGATGGAGACAGTGAGCAGACAGTTAAAATTAGGTTCTGCAAAATTAAGGATCTAGCAATAGATCACACATATGATCCAGTACATGTCCACTGTACAAAACCTGGATGCCCTCTACTTTCTCCTCCAGTCAGATCAAACCATCTGTAGTTCCCCTACAGAGACAGTTTTCTCCCATCTCTACCTCCAAACAAACTTCCCTACAGAGCCAGATACCCTACTTCATACCTGGTTAATTCTTTGTCATCTTTCAGAATGCTCAGGTATCATTTTCCCAAACCTTACTCATTTCCCACCAGGAGGACGGTACCTACATCTTACCTCTCTATGTTTTAGCACCTAATTTTTAGCAACATGCCTAAAATAGCAGCCATTTAAAGACGGACTGAAAAAAGGGCTTGGCGTGTGTTCAATAAGCTTTCAAAGGAAGAGGATCCTCTTAGAGGTGACCGCTAAAGAAATGAACTAGGATGAGATTTCCTAAGGAAACAAAAGAAAAGAAGTGGTCCTAAATACAGATATGTCCTAAATATGTCATGGAACATATTCATTTAGGAGTCAGTTCCTGAAAATGCTTCTCAACTTCTCTCAGCCCCAAATACTTCATCTGTAACACAATTGTTACCTACCTCACAGGTGGCTGGTGAGATTAAAGGAGATAGCATACATAAGGCACCTAGTATAAAAATGTCTGGCACTCAATTAATGTTCCCTTCTGTTCCCCATCCCTACCTGAAAACATGTTAGAGCCTGCTTGTTTCTTTGCAACTTTAGTAACTATTACAACGTGAAAAGCAATCTGATATAGAAAAATAATGGATATTTGAAAAAGGGAGGCTAGACTTGTCAGATGCTCTCCCTTAGAGCAGTTTTGTCCTATCTCAACACTATTGTTAATTTTGGCTAGATAATTCTTTATTGTTCTAGGGAGATTCCTGTACACTGTAGAAAGTTAAGCAGCATCCTTCCAACTCTGCTTACTAGGTGCCAGTAGCACACCCTACCAAAATGTCTCCAGATGTTGCTAAATGTCTCCTGGGAAGCAAAATTTCACCTGGCTGAAAACTACTACCCTAGAGCTAACTGAAATCCTCAAAGTCCTAAGTCTTTTACCTGACATCTACAAACATGTCTCATACATTTATCTTTTCCCCACTGGTTGATTCTACACATTAAATTTTGTTTAGGCCTTATAAGCCATTCCCCTTAAAAATCAACCAAAACTGGTAGCTAGCCCTTTAACTGTCAAGCCAGTCATCATAGATAATGCATGCAGTCCAACCACTGAGGGCATTATCACACTGCAACCCTCAAAGCCAAATATAATAAAAGTAGGAATAGCTAATCCCAAAAGGTCTTCACACAAAATTAAGAGATTTGTTCAAGTACTCAAGCGTCTAATATTTTAACTTCATGTTACAAGTGGCCCTAAGTAGATATGATATAAAATGAGTTTTATATAAAGAGTTTCCAAGTCTTTGTTTTTAAGCAAGCTCTTTGCCCAACATGGAGTTTGCACTCATGACCCTGAGGTCAAGAGTCACTTGCTCTAATGACTGAGCCAGCCAGGCACCTCAGAACTTTTGTAAGTTTTAAGTAAACACTAATGACACATATGATGCATTCTGTATATTTAAGATTAAATATGATATGCTTATATGTTGCAACAACAGAAAAAGTTATGTACATTAACAACAACAACAAAAAAAAGCAAAAGTAGAGAAACAAAAATTGACTTAACAGTTCACAAGAGTTTTTGGATAACTGTTTGAGGTTAGTTAAGTATAGCATGGTAATTAAGAACATAGACCTGGAATCAGATTACCTGGATCAAAATCCCAACACCATCACTTACTAGATGGGTGACGTTTCATCAACATCTCTATCGGTGTTTCCTCCTTGGTTAAATGAAGATAATTATGGTACCTGCCTTCTAAGGTTGTTGTGGGATTGGATGAGTTAAAATAGGTAAACTGATGAAATGGTGCCTGATACATACGTAAGTATTAAACATTATTATCATTGTTTTTAAGGATACATAAGCAGAGAGAAGTGTTTCTTGGATGGCTATATAAAAGTAGAAACAGTAGTCAAAGAATGGACTTTCACCCAGACACTCTGGATTCATATTTCCTTAACTAATTATTTCATTTAGGCTTCAATTTCCTCATTTGTAAAATAGGAAAGTGCTCTGAAAATGAATTAGCATAAGGGAAAATCTAAGGGCCATATGTTTAGTGGGATAGTGGGGAAAAGTTACATCTGTCTTCCAAATTGGTAGAGGAAACTTTGTGAAGGATGTAATTTTAAAGAAATAACTCTAATAATGTACAAAGAGGGAAAGCACATATCTTGAATCCAGGTAGGTCTGATTCAAAAAGCCTTTGCTTTATTTACTCTATGGTTTGAAACCTTAAAGTAAAAATAAAACATCCTGAGTTGTCATAAGAAAAAAAAGTTTATTTTTTTTATAAGGTAAGCATACTAATTAAGGGTAGTAGGAATACATTAAAGGCACTGGCAGGGATTTGATCACCATCCATTCAAAAGAGCACGAAAACACGACCAGAGCCCTAACTGACCTTTTCTTTTCATTTATGAAAGCTTCATTCTTTCCGGGGAGTGAAGACGGATGATGTTGGAAAAAATGAAACTTGGATCATCAAGAAACGTACCAATACTTTTAAATCAATTTGTCTATTTTTAGATAGAAAAATCCATGTCTTCCAACAAACATTTCAAAATCATCCAGGACTGTGCATGCTGTACATTACACTTATTAGGAAAGAATACTTGAACAAACAATTTTTGTAAGTTGCAGCATCACACGTGAGGCCAAGTCGGTGTTTGGGGCAGAACTGTTTCAACTGTTGCCAAAAAGTGCAAAGAACAAAAGAAAAATCAACATTTCCTATCTGTTCAGCCAAATTCCGCCCCCTAAAGCCTCGGAGGCGGGGTATCCGGGTCCCTGCAGAGGGTCTTCAAAGGTGTCAACTTTCAGAATATGTACAAAAGGAAGGTCAAGGCGCCCTTTACGAAAATCCCCAAGAATTTTGTCTTCGCCCCACGATAGATTAGTCGCAGGGCCTCCTGCTCGTTAACCCCCCCCCCACCCTCCGCCCCCAGCCCCAGGGAATAGAAGGTGGCAGCAGTGGACTCTGCCCTGGTCGAGTCTGGTCCTCCAGGGTCACACCAGCCCAGCCAGGAGAAAGCTCCCACGTGGCGCCCCGAGCCTGCCCATAGGCGGCTACGTTCTCCCCAAGCCGGCGTTCTGATTGGCCAAGAGCAGCAGGAACCGCTCCGGAGCAGGCAGCTATTCGACCAAACTGGGCTGGCGCCGGGCGAAAGGTCACAGCCTTGCGGTCAGCTCCCCGAGCAGCCGGTCCTTGCGCGTTGGCCCCACGCCGGCAGCTAGAACACCATTCGCGGGCAGACCTGCGCAACCCCCACGTGGGCCCTGGTTAGCTACGGGCGCCGTCACCCTCCACCCTACGTCGAGTAGCGCTCACCTCAGCGCTCGGGGCGCCTCCACCTTCAGCTTTTTGGGCTTCGGCTCCTCCTCGGCCGCAGCCATCTTCGTGTTCCCACCCCACTTAGGCTTCCGCGTGCGCCCCACCCCTTCTGCTTTTTGACCCCATCTCCTCCCCTTATCACCGCCTCCTTCTCCCCGAACCCCGCCTCTCTTGACTCTTTCCACTCGGTGTCTCTCCCTTCCACAGCCATTGGCCCAGCCCCTTTCTGGCCCCGCCCACCCGGCAGTAGGGGGACCCCAGACTGAGTTAGGCTGCGTACGAGCGCCTGAGTCCACATAGTGCGAAACCTCCCTTTTTTCTAGGTTCTGGGTGATCTAGAAGATTTAGATCCTAAACCTCACAAGACATCTTTCTTCTCATACAACGTCTTTCCGCTTATTTAATCTTTGCAGTACGGTAGCCCCAGTTGGTTTCTTTGAAGCTGTTAGACAGGCAATCTATTGGGCAACCCAGCTGCGGGGTCCTCGCGGCCTTCTCAGCTGCCTCCGCCGGGGTCCGGAGTGGACCTGGCGCCGAATCAGTGGCTGGCCCAGGTGTCGGGGTGAGTGTGGGGGGAGCGGGGAGACTGCGGACAGGGAACAGCTCGAAAACTGGGGAGCAGGCTGAATTGCTGGGGCTGTGGACTCTAGTCTGAGCTGCGGGAGAGTCTCCGATGCTGACCGCGCCTCTCTCTCGGCCTTCCGGGCTTTCTTGCCTGCAGGACCGGAAGGGAGAGGTGCACCTGCAGCCTGGCCGTCTCCGGTCCCAGGCCCAAGAGGTTCAGATTTATTGGGGTCCCGCTCCGTGCTTCGGCGCGGGAAAAAAGATCTTGTCACCTACGGTGAGCTGGAGTTCCAACAATTTGGACGTCAGCTCCAGGCTTCTGATTTGGAAGACAAAACCCCTGACTAACCTGAACAGATGTCCTGTCAGAGGGTGGCCCCTGAATGAGCTTGGGGTAGGAAATACCGTGAGGAGGATGTTGCAGTTCTTCAGGAAAGGTGACAGGAATCTAAACGGAGTATGGAAAAGTAATGAGCTCTGTGGCCGGTTGGATTTGTTGGATTTGGATTGTGCCCGAAGTTGAAGTTTATAGCCTATATGATTAAGAAGGTGGTGCCATTAAAATTAGGAGACCTTACATGAGGAGGGAATTTTGTGGAACTTGGGATATATCCAGTTTGAAACTGTGGCTTAGGTGTGGATGGTAGAAAGATTAAAAGGGGGGTCAGGGGGGAAGGCTGGGAAGTAAGCCGAAAAGAAACTTTCAAGGTGAGAACCAAATCAGGTGATATTTCACGTAATAAGGTAAGAAGTATTTGTTTTGGTTTGGTTTGGGGAAAGTTATCAATGACATGAAATGCTACAAGGGCCAAAGGAGCAAGTTGAAGTCTGAGGCTAGGAAGCTGGATTTGAGAATTAGGAAGTCGTTAGGCTATTAGGCTTTAATACAGTTAGTAACTGGTAGGAGAAACTGCAAGTGTAAACTAATCCTTCATCATTTGGAGCAGGAAGCAAAAGATTATTGAGGATGTCAAGTCCCTAAGAGGATTGGGGTTTGTTTTAAAGAATGCAAGGCACATTGTGTTTTGGGGCAGAAAGCAAGTAACCAATGTGTAAGAGTAAAGATTCAAGGAAGGGAGATAAGACACAAGAAGAGAGAGAATGGAGTCGGGTCAAAATTACAAATGGAAGGATTAGTTTGGGAGAGAAAGGAGGACACTTTCAAATGAGACCATAGGAAAAGCTGGGGAATGAGGTGAGTGAGGAATTACCTGAAATTTACATATCTTTGGTAGGAAAGCTCTCTTTGCAGTAAGGTTAGTTTTTCTTACTAAATCTTAGGATTTTTACAATATTTGTAAACATTCGCCATAATATGCTATTGGAGTTCCCTGCAGAATAGATATTTTTTAAGCAGCCCAATAATATCTCAATGCATGAGTGGCAAGTGGCTTTTATAGAGAAGAGGAATTCTCTCTCCCTCTACAAATGATCTCACCTGTTACACAGAGAAATTAGAAGCAATCATCTTCCTACAACCAAATGTACAAACCTTCTTCCCTTTCATTTAAAGAGGAAATGTGTCCAGGGGTACCTGGGTGGCTCAGTCAGTTAAGTGGCTGCCTTCAGCTCCAGTCATCATCCCAGGGTCCTGGCATAGAGCCCCCCACCCCCGTTTCTTCCTCTCCCCACTCTTCTCCCTCTCCCCCGCTTGTGCTCTCTCACACTCCCTCCCTCTCAAATAAATAAAATCTAAAAAATAAAAAAGAAGAAAAGTGTCCCTTACTAAGGAAGGTATATCCTTTCATTTAGTCTCCCAGTACCATCCTTGTTTATCCTATCAGTATCTTCTTTTTTTTTTCAATTATTTCCTACATTATCCACCTTTCCCCTTCTACTCACACCTTTCCTTCAGCAATTAGAAATATTCTTCCTTAACTGCGTGAAATACTCCCATTTATTTTCATGTCTTTTCATGCTCTTCACAGCTAGAGTTCTTGAACATATCATCTACTCTCCTTATCTCTGATTTTCCCACTTTTTGTTATTTATTTCTTAGCCCATTTCAGCCTGTGTTGTTCCTGCATTCCACTGAACTATCACTAAAAGTACCTTTGCTAAGATCACCAATATCCTCTATGTGTTAAATCATAGATTCTCAATAGGGACAAAAATTGCTTTGTGAGGTGCAAAAATGAAAAAAATCATAACCTTTATATATAAAACAGTATATATATAGTGCATAAGGAGATATACAGATAAATATTATGTAATATTTAAAATTTTATGGGGGAGGATGTGATTGAAGGGGAGTCTGAAAAAGCCCTCAGCAGGTAATTTAAAAAACAAAACAAAAAACAGACATTTTCGGTTCTTTTTTTTTTTTTCTTTTTTTGTTCAATTCTTCTTGTAGCTTGACCTCTTTGTGCCATTTAAAATGTTTAGTATTGGGCGCCTGGGTGGCTCGGCTGGTTAGGCAACAGCCTTCTGCTCGGGTCATGATCTCAGAGTCCCGGGATCGAGTCCCGCATCGGGCTCCCTGCTCAGCGGAGAGTCTGCTTCTCCCTCTGACCCTCCCCTCTCATGCTCTCTCTCTCACTCTCTCTCTCTCAAATAAATAAATAAAATCTTTTAAAAATAAAATAAATAAATAAATAAAATAAAATGTTTAGTATTCCATTCTTCTGGAAACACATTAACACTCTCTCTCTCTCAAATAAATAAATAAAATCTTTAAAAAAATAAATAAATAAATAAATAAAATAAAATGTTTAGTATTCCATTCTTCTGGAAACACATTAACACACGTTGGTTACTAAAAATCGTTACCCCCCACCCTTTTTTATTGCTCTTCGGCCCACATGTTCTCAGCTTTTTTTTTAAGGCCTACTTCCTTAACCCACTTGCTATTCGGGTGTTGGAGTTCTTTCCATAGCTGTCTTCTTAGTATGTACATTCTCTCTTTGTAGTTTTTTTTCTCCTTGTAGCTATAATTCCCATTAATAAAAAGTCATGTTTATTCCTAAGTGTGTCTCCAACTCAGCTTCTCTTTGTAGCACTAGACCTACATATCTAATAGTCTTTTGAATATATCCATTTGGGTCAGATATATCCAGAATTGGGTCAATATACAGGACCAGGGCTAAGTGCTTCATTTTTCCTCTCATCTCCAGCCCCCAAATCCACCTAATCTGCTCAAGCCTAAACAGTTCTCTTATCTTTTTATTTTATTCATCCCTACTGTCAATACTGTAGTCCAGGCCATTACCATAATTTATCTCTGAACTGGTGTCCTGTTATTCAATTTCCACAGTATAATTTCTCTTAAAACTGTAAATCGGATTTCATGAGTTCCCTGCTTAAAACCATGAAAAACTGCACTGAGAATTAAGTCAACCAATCTCCGTTTATCTCCTTCCCAGGCTCATCTCGCCACTTCCCTTCACCTCCTAAAATTGCTAAATTTATACTGGATTTCTTTACTTGTGTTCTCTGTCACCTCAAAGATTTGTGGAATTTTGAAGGACACTGTATTTCCCCCATCATAATAGGAATTGCTTCTTACTGTATTAAGTTGTTTGCCTTCTTTGGTGAACTTTAAACTGTCTGAGTTCAGAGACTTTGTTCACCTTTCTATCCCCATTACTTACCATATATAAAACATAAAACTACTTGTTGAATGAATAAATGGTCAAAATACTGTCTGAGAATCAGAGAAGCTAGATTCTTCACTGGTCTCATTCTCTTACCTTGCCCATAGGCCCTTCCTTCTATGCCTCTGTTCTGTTTTATGTAAAAGGAATACATTTTCTTTTTGAGACATTATTCCAAGGACATTTTGATTAGCAGTCTTCCTCGACTTATGCTGAGGTTATGTCCTGAAAATACTGTAAGTCAAAGATGCATTTAATATACCTAGACCTGAGCCTCATAGCTTAGCCTAGCCTACCTTAAATTGTGCTCAGGACACTTAACATTAGCCCACAGTTCAGCAAAATTACATAACACAAAGTTTATTTTATAGTTAAGTGTTGAATATCATGTGTAATTTGTTGAAAACTGAAGTGAAGAACAGAATGGTTCCAAGTGTATTTGTTGTTTTACTCTGGTGATCAGGTCGCTGACTGGGAGTTGCGTCTGGCCGCCTCTGCCCAGCATCTCAAGAGAGTATTATGTCGTTCTCCCAGAAAAATCAAAATTCGAAATTGAATGTGTGGATTCTAATGGATGCATATCACTTTTGCACAATTATAAAGTAGAAAAGTCTTAAGTTGTAAGTCAGGGACCATTTGTACTATAATTGCATTGTTTATGAATCATCAGGTTGACCGTTCAACATCAGGTAGGGAGGATTTATGAAATATTTAAGATGCAAAGTTCCGATGGAACTTTCTCACATAGCTTTAACATAAGCTGGTAGCGTTCTGTTTTCTGATTCAGAAGTCACTAAAAACAAAAAGATGGTTGTGGTTGCAGTGAGTGTGCAGCTTTCCCGGAAAGTTTATTAGAATGATGAAAGGAGTAACTGCAGCTATTAAAAGGATAAGCAACTAAAGAAACAGGCTAATTTACACTGCCACATGTCACATTTATTTGATTGTTATATGCATTAGGCTCTTGATCATAAAGGAATAGAAGAAACAAGCTCTCTTTTCTCACAATAGAAGGGTAAGGTGGGTTTTAAAGCTAAGCACTGTTGAGAGCTACAAGTGTTATGCTTTCATCTGAGCCCTAAGGAAGCAAATCCAGATGGCGGGTTTAACTTGCTGTATTCTTCAGAGATTAGAACTATTGCCAACAAAAACAACTTTGGTGCAAACTTTCTGGAAAGAATTTTTCACCAGTTTAAGAGGATGAATAGGAACCTGGCCTCCAAAATAAAGGAATCGTGAAGTCACTTGCTGCAAGAACTTGCTGCAAGAACAAGCAGCTCTTCTAGGGAATACTGTGGCAGCAAAGTTCCACAGATCCATACGAACTATACCTTCTATAGGATGAGTAACTAAGTAATAAGATATAAGATATAAGATAACTTAAGTCAGCTCTTTTAAATATAATGTCTGCTCTAAATAATTTATTAGAACACATTTTGGCTTCTAACTACATTAAGAAGCCCATCCTTCAGCTCTTCTTAAATTATAAACTCAAAGAGCATATTTGTTGCTCAGTCCTGTATGGTAACCACCAGCTACATGTAGTTACATACATTTAAATTAGTGAAAATGAAAACTTTTCAGTACATCCATTGCATTAGCCATGTGTCAGTGTTCAGGGGCCACCTATGACTAGTGGATACTATATTGGACAGAGAAGATACAAGACATATCCATCATTGCAGGAAATTCTGTTGCACAGTGCAGCATTAGAGTATGTTCCTAATAATTATGTATGTACTTATAATTAGTCTCCAGGAGCCCAAGATTCACCCAGACCTGGGTTTGAACCCTAGCTCTTATACTTATTGTTTGATCTGATTTAACATTTCTAAGACTTCATGATCTTATCTGTAAAACGGGGGGTAAGCACAATATTTATAACATTGAGTCGTGAAGATTCAGTGAGATAATGTAGGGAAGTGCCTAGCATAGTGCCTGGCCCACAGTAAGTACTCAGTACCTTTTAGATATTATTAATTTATTTATTCTTAATGAATAAAAAACTTGGAATAGAGCTAAAAATTTAGTTTTGTAAAGAATACCATATTCCATAGCTGGCTCACTTGAAGTGCTCAAATCTGAGTCTCTGAGTAGGTTACAGTGTTCTCCTTTCAGCTATACCTCATATTTTAGATGAAGATTTTATTTTAAGAAAATGTGTCATAATGTAAATTTAGTTGCAGATCTTATCATTGGATATTCCTGTTTCTTTTTTTTTAAAGTATATCAACAGAGGTTATAGTTAAAGTCAGTAGCTTCTATACACAAGTCTGTATTCTAGTGACACTACTTAACACTCAAATAGAAATATAAGGCTGACACAAAGCAAATCTGTTAAAGCATCTGACTAGATAAAGAAGAAAAATTTAACAAGTTTCAATATTAATCTAGAAAAATTTAGTAGGTCCAAAGCCTAAGGGCTTATTGCTGCCAACGCACAGTGATTGCTTGGCTCAATAGAGATGGCTTTGAACAAAGAAACATTGTTTGTTTCTAATGAACAAGAATGTAAAAATGTTAACAGCATTCATAGTTATTAATACAGTAATTACTAAAACACATCTTAGTAATTAGTAATTACTTAGTAATTAGTAATTTATGTAAAAACTTCTGAACATGTGCCAAACAGGAAGGGGAAATCATCACCAGATAGTCCTTAAATGTCAGCTGCTTTCATAAAATAAATGACTTGCTCTCAAAAGAACTGGTCAGGTTGGTGTCATTATTTTCTGAACTGAATGAATCCATTCTGTAAAGTCTTCCTTTCCTTTTTGGGATTTATCTTCATCAGAGAAGCTGTATGTATTCATTTTAAATGTTTTACAGTTGGACTATACTTACACAATACAAAATTTTGAATTACTGGACCACTAGGCTAAACACCTGGTAAGTGATGTTATCTACATAAAAGAAGGGAACACCTTAAGGTAATTAAATAGTTTTCTACTGTCCCCCATTTGCAAGGATAATAAAGTTTTTATTTGAAATATAGTTAACACTCAGAAAATTACATGTCAGAATGTAAAACCCAGTGAATTATCACAAAATGAATACAACTTGTAACTATCATCTTGATCAAGAAATAAAACATTACAAGCACCTTAGGAAATATCCCCCATGCCCCTCTTAGTCACTGTCCCCACTCTCCATAAAAGATAGCATTTGATTTCTCAAACTATAGATTAGTTTTGTCTGTTCTAGAATGTCATATAAATAGAATCATACTGTATGTATCATTTTGTATTTGGTTTTGTTTGTTCAATATTGCGTTCATAAGTTTCGTCCATATTTGCTTCATGTAGCAGTAGCTTGTTTTCATTGCTGTATAATAATTCATTTTCATAGTACACTATAGTTTATTTTTCTATTGTACTATTAATAAATATCTGAGTTCCAGGTTTTCGCTATAACAGTATATTTTTATACATGTTTTTGGTGCACAATTGTACACATTTATGTTTAATCCACCTGGAAGTAGATTCATGTATCACAGTTATTAAGGATGTTTTTAAGTGAAATATAATTCACATGCTATGGAACTCATCATTTTAAAGCATACCGTTTAGTAGTTTTTAGTATATTCACAAAGTTGCACAATCATTATCTCTAATTCCAGATGTTTATCACCTTAAAAAAAAATGGCAAACCCATAACCACTAACTCCGCATTCTTCCCTCCCACCCAACCCCTGGCAACTACTAACCTAATTTCTGTCTCTGTAGATTTGCTTATTCTGGACATTTTATAAAATGAAATCATACAGTATGTGACCTTTTGTGTCTGGCTTCTTTTACCAAGCATAATGTTTTCATGGTTCATTCCTTTTTATGGCTGAATAATCTTCCATTGTTAGAAAATTATTTATCCATTCATCAGTTGATAGACATTTGAGTTGTCTCCACTTTTTGACTATTCTGAGTAATGCTGCTAGGAAAGTTTATATACAAGTTTTTGTATGGACATGCATTTCCAGTTCTCTTAGTTTTATACCTAGTAGTAGAATTACTGAGTAATTTGGTAACTCTTACCTTTAACTTTTTGAAGAACTCACTGTTTTCCACAGCGTCTGTACCATTTTACTTTTCTGTCAACAAAGTATAAGGGTTCTAGCTTCTCCACATTCTTGTCAATACTTGTTATTGTCTGCATCTTAATTATATCTAGCCTAATGGATATGAAATGTTACCCCCATTGAGATTTTGATTTACATTTGAAAAGATGTTGAGCACCTTTCCTTGTGCTTATTGATCATTTGTGTGTATATCTTCTTTGGAATAATGTTTTGAAATTCTTTGCCCATTTTTTGTATTGTGTTGTCCTTTTATTAAGTGTTCTCTTTATATTCTGGATAGTAGTCCCTTATAAAATATGTGTTTGCAATTATTCTCTCATTCTGTGGGAGTCTTTTTATTTTCTTGATAATGCCCTTCAGAATACAAAAGTTTTAAATTCTGATACAAGTCCAGGTTATCTGTTTCTTCTTTTGTTGCTTGTGCTTTTGGTGTCATCTTAAAAAATTATCTAATCCAAAGCCATAAGAACTTAATAGATACCTTTTTTCTAAGAGTTTTTAATAGTTTCAGCTCCTATATTTAGGTCTTGATACATCTTGAGTTAATTTTTGTATATGACATAAGTAGAGGTCCACATTCGTTCTTTAGCATGTGGGAATCTAGTTGTCCCAGCACCATTTGCTAAAAGACTATTCTCTCTCCCACTGAATGGTCTTGGTAATTTTATCAAAAATCAATGACCATATATGTATAAATGTTAATTTCAGAATTCTCCATTCTATTCCATTGATCTGTATGACTGTTCTGCCAGTATCACATAGTACATTTGTAGTAGCAGGTTTTGAAATCTGGAAGTATAAGTCCTCCAGATTTTTTTTCAAGATTGGTGTGGCTATCCTTGGTCTCTTTCATTTCCATATGAATTTTAGGACCATCCTGTTAGTTTCCACAAAAAAAAAAAAAAAGGGGGGGGGCAGCTGGCATTATAGTAGGGATTACATTGACTCTTAAGCCAATTTGGAGGATATTGCTATCTTAACAATATTAAGTTTTCTAATCCATGAATGTGAAATGTCTTCCCATGTTTTAGATATTTTTAATTTCTAATTTCTTTCAGTGATGTTCTGTACTACTCAATGTATACTAATAATGCTCTGTACTGTTCTATATTAATGATGCTCTAATACTATTCAATGTACTTGCTCTTGTGTTACATTTAGTCCTAAATATTTTGATCTTCTTGATGCTCTTGTAATTGGAATTGTTTTCTCAATTTCATTTTCAGATTATTTATTGCTAATGTGTAGAAATACCATTGGTTTTTAAAAGTATTAATCTTGTATCCTGCAACCTTACTGAATCTGTTTATTAGCTATGATTTTGTGCATGTGAGTGTGTGTGAGTGTGTGTGTGTGTGTGTGTGTTCCTTAGGACTTTACATAGACGAAGATTTTAACATCTGCAAATTGGGGTAGTTTTATTTCTTCCTTTCCATTTTGGAAGCTTTTTGTTTCATTTTCTTGCCTGATTGCCCTGGCTAGAATCTCTAGTACTATACTGAATAAAAATGATGAGCGTGAACACCATTGTTTATTCTTGATAATAAGGGGAAAGCTTTTAATCTGTAGTCATTAAATATGATGTTAGTTATGGGATTTTCACAGATGCTCTGTTCTCTTGAGGTTAGGATATTTCTTTTTCTAGTTTGTTTTTCTTGTAAACAGGTGCTAGATTTTATCAAATGATTTTCCTGCATGTTTTGAAATCATTTTTTTTTGTCTTTTGTGTAGATTGTATGTTCTATTGATTGATTTTCATATGTTGAACCAATCTTCCATTCTTGGAATAAATCCCATTGGTGTATAATCTTTATATGGTGCTGGATTCAGTTTGTTAGTATTTTGTCAAGGATTTTTACAGTTATTCTTAAGTGATATATATTGGTCTGTAGTTTCTTCTGACGCCTTTCTCTGGTTTTGGTGTCAGAATAATACAAGGATACTTTTTGATGTACACTAAATTTAAACTTTTTTCCCCCCAGAAAATGATCCACAGTCTATTTCTCATAAACTGTTCCGGTGACATATTTCTGGAGAAGCACTGGAAGAGTGTTGTGAGCCAGTCTGTCTGTGATTATTTCTTTGAAGCTCAAGAGAAAGCTGCTGATGTTGAAAATGTACCACCTGTCATTTCAACACCTCATCACTACCTCATCAGTATATACAGGGACAAACTCTTCTTTGTGTCTGTCATACAGACTGAAGTGCCCCCTCTCTTTGTAATTGAGTTCCTACATCGAGTTGCCGACACTTTTCAGGTTGGTTATTCATCAACTCTTTTGAACTTAAATTACTCAAGTTAGTTGGGGGTGGGACACCTAATCATATTCTTTAATAATCCAGCTTTTGATGTGTCTTCTGTCTCTCTCTTCTTTTCAACTAAGCATAAATTCATGAACCCTTTTTTTGTAGGGTACACAGCAGTGCACATGGCTACTCCATTCACTGTTTCAGTAGAACCCAGTAATCTCATGGTCATGGAAACCATATTTATATGTATTACAGATTAAGTCATCAGGAAACTGTAAAGCCCTCTACATACAGTTCCTTGAATGGTCCCAGGATTTTTATTGGTTATGTAATCTTCTAATATTTACATTTTATTATCTTGCTAAGTGTACCAAATAATTGAAAACATACCTGTGTTTTGGGGGGTATCTAATCAGGCAAATTAAGTTTATAGTTCACATCCTAGTTTAATGTTTCAAAGTCCTCTCTGGATTATTATGTAATAGGAATTCAGTCTAAAAATATTGAGAAAATATTGAGGACTAGAACTATAGAGTTTTTTTCACTCTGGCATATTTTCAACATCTTAATCAGTGAATTATGCCTCTGTAAGTTTATCCTTCTGAACAGAGTGTTTAGAAAGCCTTTCTTCATGTGTTCCATTGTGCAATATTATGTACATTTTGTTAAGGACTACTTTGGTGAGTGTTCGGAAGCTGCAATTAAGGATAATGTGGTCATTGTATATGAGCTCTTGGAAGAAATGTTAGACAATGGATTTCCACTGGCTACTGAGTCTAATATTTTGAAAGAACTGATTAAACCACCAACAATTCTCCGTTCTGTCGTCAACTCTATTACAGGTAAGGTGAAAACATGCTGCATTCGGAACTGAGCAATTAAAACTTTATAAACAACTCCTTGTTGCTTATGATCTTGCAGATACTAAGGTAGTCAAGTTTGGTCAGAGTTAAAGTTAGTGGTATTGTTAAAATGAATGTGTATTTCTTTTCATGAGTAAACGAGATCTTAAATGATAAAGAAAACTTGATTATTACTCTTTTATTAAAGACCACAAAAGCATTATTACCATTACTTAACACTAAATAATATGACTGAATAAATTTTCCCAGCTAATCCTAAGGAAGCCAATATAGTGAAGCTATAAAAGGGAAGCCTATATGTGAGGCTACTTAGAACATCTAGTCTATTTATAGACTGCCAATTTACTATTTAAATTAGTATTAGTTTATGTAATGTGATGAAGGTGTTAACTAACACTGTCCTCGGTAATCATTATAGTGTATAAGTGTATCATATCAACATGTTGTACACCTTAAACTTAACACCATGTTATATGTCAGTGGTCTCTCAATACAAGCTGGGAGAAAAATAAAAATTAATAAATAGCATTATAAAACTGGCTACCCAGTATAAAACTGTTGCTACCCCCCAAATTACTAGGAAATAGAAAATTTAAGACTCTCTACCACAGAGGACATATTATCTCCTCCAAGTCTTTGTTTTATACATGTAGAAGATTTATTAAGCCAAAAAGAGATAGGAAATTAATCTATTTGTGAGATTTCATGCATTGTGGGCCTTGTACTTGTGTTACAAATTTCTAATCTTTGTTTGCTTTTTGAGTATAGCTAGAAATTAGGTACGTCCAGATGACAGTATTTTTTGAGAGTATTGAAGACTTCTAGAGAAGGATTACTGTCAGATGTTACATGCCACACCAGCTACACTTTCTGCCATTTTAAACCCCTCTCCAAGTCTATTGACCTAAAAAATAGGGCAAGAGAGGCCTCTGAAAATGCGTTATTCATCTTCTCTATAAGGCTGAGCACTGGGAGAAATTCAAGGAAAGATGAGATGGAGTGTATGTGCCTAAAAGTTACACTCTGGATGGGAGACTGGGGAAAAAAATTAAAGTATGTAAATAATATAAGATTATAAAAGGCAATTCCATACTTTATGAACAATACAGTGCCACTGGAAAGTACACATAATATAGTACTAAGTGAAAAAAAAATTTACCAAAAACTCTACAAAACTATAAAAATTTCTCTTAATTACACATAAATATTCATACAGACAAAAAAATTCTAAGATGTTTTCAATAATGAAAACTAAGGAACTACATACTGTCTTTTTTTTTTTGCTTTATACTTTCTAATTTCTAAAATAAACATGTATTTCATAGTTACTAAAATATAGAATGAAAATATATAGGTTATTAAGGCAGTGCATGGAATTAAAGAGAATGGTTCGGTGAATGAATTGTGGTGCTTGGCCCAAGTGCAGGGCCCTAGAGAATCAGCAGAATTTAGGGAGAGCGGGAGGAATAAAAGCATTTTGTAGATGGAACTATATGAGAAAAAACACATACAAAATGAAAAACATTGAATTGTATGAATTCATTTAGCAGGAACAGAGCTGTTTTTTTAGCTGAGTAATGAGATCTAAAACTTAAGAGTTAAGTTGAGGAAGTTCTTGAATAGTAGGCTAAATATTTAGTTTTTATCATAAAGCCAGTGTGGAAACATTGTAAGTTTGAACAGGAAGGTGAAAGCAGTGCTTTTAGAAAATTCTGAGAAGCTAAAGGTTTGGAGAAACAAACACCATCATAATTAGACTGTAAAGTTATATATACAGTATGATTACAACTCTATTTTAAGGTGCAGTCGGGAAAAAAGCAAACTTATCAAAAGAGAAAAAAATAAATGCAACTTATTTATGAGGGAAATGTTTAAAGAAATATACCAAAATGTTAATGGTAGTTGTATTTTGGTAATGGGAAGCTAGATTCTTTTTAGCCTTTTCTGAACTTTCCATGTATTATTACTAAGCATGTACTACTTTTGAGTTGGAAATGTAAATTAACCAAAATGTTAAATATGTCACAGTTCAAGGTTATGTTTTGGACAACCAGACTTATTTTCAGACATATGTCAATTTACCAGTAAATTAGCCAGATATTAAACATTAGCCATATTGCAGCCATATGGGTGTGCTGACCTTAAAATGGGGAAAGGCCAGAGTGTGTTCTTCATCCAGTTACTCCACTGAGGCCTGCGTGGCAGCATGTCATGTAGAATTTAAGGGGAATACCAAAGGGCCTACTTAGCACTCTGTGTTCTCAGTGGAGACATTTGATCGGCAGGTTTTAAAACAACTAGCCTCTTTTCTTCATCAGTGGCAGCAGGACGAGATTTGTTGTTGAGCCACTGGAATTAGGTTAGGTTACTGTTAACACACAGGAAGCGAAAGATAAGTAAATGAATTTAACCTGGTTTGGCACATAGAGGACCACGTGGCCTATTTCTGTCTTCTCGAAATTTGATCATATTGGTATGGCTATATCTCCAAGAGTTCTGGAAACTATCCACTACTTCAATGAAGAAAAACCCAGACATTAAAGAAGCAGCTATAGTATTCTTTTTTTTTTTTTCCTGTTAATTGCTTTTCTTTTTTTATTTTTAAAGTAAACTATACACGCAATGTGGAGCTAAAACTCATGATCCACAGGTCACAGGTCGCACACTCTACCAACTGAGCCAGACAGGCACCTCTGTTAATAGCTTTCCGGATCACAATTTTATGCATTACCTTGGCTTTCTCTTTTTCCGGCTTTCTAGGCAGTAGTAATGTTGGGGACACACTCCCCACTGGGCAGCTGTCCAACATCCCATGGCGCCGGGCAGGGGTAAAGTACACAAACAATGAAGCCTATTTTGATGTCGTTGAAGAAATAGATGCAATTATAGATAAATCAGGTAATTGCATGCATGTGGTCTTATTTGGGAAAACAGTTGAGCTGACATACGCTGAATAGAAAATTGAAATCCCTTGGTAGTATGGTTTCAGCAGAAAGGCATTCATTTCCTAATGGCTTAAAAATCTGTTTATTTTGCCCAGAGGTTACATATAATTTTCATAACCACTAGCTGAGATCTGCCAAACCTTTGTAAATCAGATCTCATGCTGCCTCACTTTAAACTAGCTATTACCCTGTATGCCTCTCCCTCTTCCCATTTTTTCAGCATTTATTGTTTATCTGCCATGCACCATACTTTCGCTACCACTGTATATGCAGTATTTGAAATAAAGACCCCAGACAAAACAGCAGTACTGTATTAGAACCATAAAATTTTATTAAAAACATCTAGTCCAACCCTCACATTTTATACCTAAGGAAACTGAGGCTCAGAAGGGTTTAGTAATCTGCTTAAGGTCACATAGCTAGTTGGTGTATGAAAATGAGCTATCGTGAATTAATAGCCAGTATCTTTTCTTCAGTGGGTACCCTTTTCATTATAAAATTCCATCATAAAGAGTAATAGCTGTACTATTATGGAATAAGGGCTCCTATTTCTTAAAAGTTAACAGCTTAGTCCATTTCAATGAGAAATTTTCCTTATTTTTAAATTCCTCAAAAAATATTTTAACTTCAAACACTTTTTTTTTTCTAAGAGGGAAAGAGTTGGGGGAGAGGGCCAGAGGCAGATGGAGAGAGAGAGAATCTTAAGCACCCAGCATGGAGCCCAAAGCAGGGCTCGATCTCATGACCCTGAGATCATGACCTGAGCTGAAACCAAGAGTCAAAGACTTAACTGACTGAGCCACCCAGGCACCCCCAAAATATTTTAATTTCATATCCAGCAGTCTTACAAGGTTGACTCCACAAAGATAGAGGCAGTTTTGACATTCCTTAGAATTACCACAGTCCTACCAGAGTTAGATGTGGGCCGTGGTACTTAGTGAACAAGCTGTCATAACCAATGTAATGGATCCCCTATCCACTAACTTGTTAGTAGATGTGTAAGTTTCATTATGTCTGACACCCAGAAGGTGTCTCCATTACTTCAGATACAGTGATTTCTCTAATCAAGACTCAGAGTCCAGTGACGTTACCACTTTCTTTCTTTCTTCAGGATCTACAGTCTTTGCAGAAATTCAGGGGGTCATTGATGCTTGCATTAAGCTATCTGGAATGCCTGACCTTTCTCTTTCTTTCATGGTAAGTTTTGTTCTCCTGTCACGTAGCTCTTTGCATGCCTACTATATATGAAGTACTAAATGAAATGATAAATACTGAGAGATGTTTGTATCTTAGATTATAAGGATTATCTCAGAAATATTCTAAGATTGATTTATTGAGAGAGAGAGATAAAGAGCACACACTTGAGCGTGAGCAGAGGGAAGGGTCGAGGGGGAAAAAAAGAGAGAGTCTCAAGCAGACTCCATGCTGAGCCAAGAGCCTGACGTGGGGCTTGATCTCACAATCCTGAGATCATGACGTGAGCCAAAATCAAGAATCAACCACTCAACTGACTGAGCCACCCAGGCACCACCTATCTCAGAAATATTCTTAGCCAGCTTCCCAAGACAGTGGCTTAGGTAATGAGCATGGCCCTTATAGAAGGCTGAGGAGAGGTCTCCTAGGTGTGTTAGAAGAGGCTTAAATAGCTGGCTGGCCTTCACAAATCTGTAGTCTCACTTACTGAATTATTATTTGCTTTGCTGGTATGAAAGGTCATTGATCTTTTGCATTATTTTAGACTCAGCATGATACACTACTAAGAAAAAAGAATGGAGTTCTGATGCTAACTTGTCCTGTCCCACATATAAAATAACTGTGGGGCTCCTGGGTGGCTCAGTCAGTTAGGCAGCCAGCTCTTGATTCTGGCTCAGGTCATGATCTCAGGGTCCTGGGATCGAGCTTCACATCAGGCTACATGCTTGGTGGGGAGTGCGCTTGAGGATTTTCTCTCTCCCTCCCTCTCCCTCCCCCCTCACACACGCATTCTCTCTTTCTCTCAAATAAATCCTTAAAAAAATAGATATATTTGAAAGCCTTATGAAACCATTAAGTTTATGTTACTGTGGTCATAGTAACAAACTCTTAACATCACTGTTTTATCCTTAGGGAGTATTTAATTTCTCAAATATCTAAGTAGAGTTGCCATATTCCATGCATTCTGTGAATATTGCCGTCTTGTTTTCCTGGCAGAACCCACGGCTTCTAGATGATGTCAGCTTCCACCCCTGCATCCGGTTTAAGCGCTGGGAATCTGAAAGAGTTTTGTCCTTCATTCCTCCAGATGGAAATTTCCGGCTCATATCATATCGTGTCAGCTCACAAAAGTATGTTGATGCATCAGCTAGAAATCTGCTATCATGTATCTGTGTGATGGGTGACCTTACCTTTTTCATTCTGACAGTTGGATACTTGAATTCATCACTGCCCCCGTTAGCCATGGCTCACCAGGAAACCTAGGAAGAACTGGTGAAAATACGTATCTAAAATAATCAGTATACCTTAAATATGAGAATATAAATTAGTAGTAAAAGAGACTAGTAAAACATATACCTGAGAACAAGCAAGCATTTTTGACTTTGCATTAGCTATGCAAAACCTGGAACCCGTGTGGTCTGTAGACTTCAGAGCCGACAGAAGGAGCTCCAGCTCTCTAGGCTATCTCCCAACTAACTGGCTTCAGGTCACCCTTTTGTGTACTAAGGTTTAAATGAATTGGCATTATGGGTTGGAAATGGTTTGTCCCTTGAAAATATCAGAAGGTATTTGGGTAATATCAGATGGGACTCAAAAGCAGAGGAATTATTTCTTGACTCTAGCCACATAGGGACTATTTTATTTAGGATAATTTAAAATTATCTTTTCTGTGGGATCTTAATTTCTTCAAACGAGGGCTATTTGCCCTAGTTGTTTATACTATCTCTTTTTTTAAGATTTTTTATTTATTTGACAGAGACACAGCAAGAGAGGGAACACAAGCAGGGGGAGTGTGAGAGGGAGAAGCAGGCTTCCCGCTGAGCAGGGAGCCTAATGCAGGGCTCGATCCTAGGACCCTGGGATCATGACCTCAGCCGGAGGCAAACGCTTAACAACTGAGCCACCCAGGCACCCCTGTTTATATTGTCTTGATTCCTGTCTTAATGTGCATACTTATTGCTCATAAATTGTGTGATTCCTCGTGTGGTGGTACTCATACCCTCTGGTAAGTACCAGTGAATGCTGAGTCTCCAGTTCTAGGGGGTATATGGCCCTATAGTAGAGTCAGAGTTAGAGTAGGATACTCTGGACTGAGGTTTCCAGTTCCCTCAAGAGCTGTCTCACACCATTAATTATGTTTGTGGTCGTGTCTGTCTTTCTCATTTCAGTCTAGTGGCAATACCGGTGTATGTGAAACACAGCATCAGCTTTAAGGAGAACAGTTCTTGCGGTAGATTTGATATTACGATTGGACCAAAGCAGAATATGGGGAAAACTATTGAAGGAATCACGGTAACAGTTCACATGCCAAAAGTTGTGCTGAATATGAACCTGACGCCAACACAAGGCAGCTATACATTTGATCCAGTTACCAAGGTACAGCTCCCTCTAATCAAGAGTGAGCAAATGTTTCTGCAGTCTTTATTTTATGATGGCAGGGAGGGTGGAAGGAAGGGTTTAAAGTTCCTAACAAGACCTGGAGAGCATACTGTGCTGTGCTCTCACCCCTGGCTGCGGAGGGAATCCCGCATCTGCTGCTGAGATGAACCGAAAAGTAAGACTCCTTCTGTTATCCTTCAGAGTGTGCCTTTCCTCATCCACTGGTAATCTAGAGACATACTCGCTGAGGAAGATGTAAAAACCTTTATAGAAAGAGAAAAACAGTATCTGGATATAAGAAGTTAGTATTGTAGTCTCTTAATTGTTAAATTTTCTGTAGTAATTGATCATTACGAACTTTCGTTTTAATTTAAAAGAACTGTTCATACTCTTCCATAGGGGATGCTGGCTAGGAAAGCCTCTTCTCACCATATAAAATAAATGTGCCTCTAGCAACAGGTTTTCAGAGAAATTGTAAAAGATGGTTTCCTCTCAGCTTTCTGCTTGGGTAAAAAGTATGATTGTTTTCAACCGCAGAGACGTGGAACTGCCTGCTAAGTGAAAAGGCGTATTTTTTTTTTTTTTAAGATTTTATTTATTTGACAGAGAGATCACAAGCAGGCAGAGAGGCAGGCAGAGAGAGAGGAGGAAGCAGGCTCCCTGCTGAGCAGAGAGCCCGATGCGGGGCTCGATCCCAGGACCCTGAGATCATGACCTGAGCCAAAGGCAGCGGCTTAACCCACTGAGCCACCCAGGCGCCCCAAAAGGCGTATTTTTAAATAAAATCATTGAATGTTAAAGATTGTCTAATCCTGTCCTAAGGATTTGAAGAATCTCCCCAGAGATTACCCAGGGCTGAGAAATGAAGGCAAAGCTCCAGATCCCTGGCCCATCACCTTGGCTTCAACTGTAATAGTTGCACTTTCCTGACTCGTACTGAGCTTCCGCACTGAAGATTTTACTTGACCAAAGAAAGCTAAAAAGTTTAAAAAACACCAATTTCGGTTGCATTTTCTCATGTTACAGCAGAGTAAACTGAGGCCCAGAGACTTACAGTGAAGGTGGTATAGTAGAAAGAACATTTGAAATCAGATCAGGTTCAAATCCCAACCTTGCCTCTAAACTAGCTGTGTGACCTTGAGCAAGTCATTTGACCACTGAGCCTCGGTTTCTTTGTAAGAAGACGACAAAAGCTACATCACAGGCCTCTTAGAGATAACGTATGAATAGTACTAAGCGCAGTGCTATAACCAGAAGTAAGTAGATGCTCTACAAATGTTGGTTCTCTGCCCTTGCCATTCGGAGTCACAGAACTGACTTGTGATAAAATCCCATGAAGATCCAGGTCTCTTGTTTCCAAGACACTGTACTTCATTCTGTACAGAAGTTTATAGTGCCTTTGAACATTTGTGCTTAGTAAATGGTTCAGATTGTATTTGTTTTTTATGTCTTTTTAAGGTACTAACATGGGATGTGGGAAAAATTACTCCTCAGAAGCTCCCAAGTCTTAAAGGACTGGTAAATTTACAGTCTGGAGCACCCAAGCCAGAAGAGAATCCAAGTCTCAACATACAGTTCAAGATCCAGCAGCTTGCTATTTCTGGTAAGGACAAGTTTTGACTTGTGTTTAAGAGTGAACTGAGTTCTGCTGAGGTCAGCTCTCAGGAGCTTCAAAGGGTAGGAGCGTTCCCTCTTTAGAAAGAACAACAGCTTGTTTGCCTGCCACCCTGGGCTGTGGGGCCATCCTCTCAGGTACGATGATTTTGCAGAGCTCCTTATTTCACACAGCTTTCTTCCACCAGAACCTCCTCATCCAAGCACGAAGGAAGGAGTCATTCATACTCACAGGAAGGACTATCCTTCAAAGACCTTCCTGGCCCACATGGGAATCTAAACTAAAAACATCCCCCCACAGAGCTGTAACACATGAATAGTAGAAGGGAGATTGCTTCCAAATGGTAGAAGGGACACTGGGTTAATGTCAGATTTACTGGGTAGTGTTCATTGCTAAACAAGTAATTGTTGGTTGCTGTGGCCAGGAAAATAATTTGTTCCTTTCCTTACCTGTTCTTTTTGACACAGGCTTAAAAGTAAACCGCTTGGACATGTATGGGGAGAAATATAAGCCATTTAAAGGAGTCAAATATGTCACGAAAGCTGGAAAGTTCCAAGTGAGAACATGAGAAGAGGCCAAAATTCCTCAAGATCTCTTTGTTTTCCTAGTGTCATTATAGTTTATTACTGTTAGGTACCAAGTGGGTGGGAATCCATATTCTAGTCGAAGCATTCCTGTTGAGCTACACACAGCTAATGAAGTTGCTTAGTAATCAATGTGGGGTTCTGAAGAGGTTTAGGCTAAGGAAACTTTGAATGACTTAGCTAATTTTTTTATCTTTTCAGTTAGGAAGATTCTGGAGGTGATTGCCTCCGTGGCGGGGGGTGGGGGGGTGGCCTCAGCTGGAGGCTCCACATTGTAACAACAGTAAAGGCAGAAAGCTGCAGTGATAACCTCTCCCCTAAAACAAGTGAACTGATCTCAGCAGGAGCTGTCCGCATCTGTAATATGATGTATCACAAGTGCAGCCCAGCGTCACACCTGATCTTAGCCGTCCCAAATCAGCATCTGTCCCAACAGAGGAAGTTCCCCCCACCCCAAGAAGTTTACAAAAAACTGCCTCTTCAAGTGTTTGCCTTATTCAGCTTTTCACTTGTGCCATTAAGCAAGCACTGTAGCAAAAGCCACTTCCACTGGCCCAGGCAGGGAGCCCCATGGCTCCAAGCTCCATTCTCACTGTACTTGGTCTTGTATTTTTTATAAATAAGATTTTTACGTAAAGCTCAGATTTTGATTTACAGGGACCTTGCTGCAGGAAGTACCATCTCCGTTTTGTGCCACTAGTTCAGCCGTTAGATAGTATAGTCAATATCATTTGTATCAAAGGGGCGAATGCTTTATTAAGGCAATAAAAGGGAACACTACTTCTGCTTTTAGGAAGTTATTGTAAGCACAAACATTTGAAATTTGAAGCAAATTAAAGCATCAAAGCAAAACCGAAGTGAACTTTGCCACCTTCATGTTTTATAAAGCTTATCTACACCACTTAAACCATTGTTAGCCTAAAGGCCTCAAGCCCTCTTTCAGCAAAAGCAAGAAAATGGGCCTGCTTCACTGTCTTCACTTTCTTTTTACTCTTTTATCTTTTTTATTGTTGTTCTTAAGGTCTTGAATTTACCTGCGTCCCTTGTCTTAAGGGGGAGCTCTCTTTTCATAGTCTGTGCTTCCCAAGGCTACAGTGGCCAATAGGTTCCTTCCTGAAACTTGGCATACTTGTTGTTTGAACGTCTCCACTGTACTGACTTGGAAGTATATGATATTGAGGCAGTAACAAGATCCTCAGTAACACTGACAAAACCATCATCTTGGTTGGGAAGTCAAGTCTAGGGTTGTATCCTTTCACTCAACTTCACTGGCTTTGAAGTCCTTGCCCAGTCATTTTGCCTCATTAGACACAAAGAATGGAGAAAGGCTGAGAGATACAAGTGCTTGTTCTTCATGGTTCCCACTTGTTCTTGCTTATGCTGTTTTCTTCTTATGATTGACTCCATTCTCTCCTTTCGTCTTGGCTTGTAACTCCCTTTTCCATGTAATGCTAAGAATGGCCCTTAAATTCATCCCATTCTGCTGTCAAGGGCTAGTGGTCGCTACTGCTACAGAGAGCCCACCAGACAGCAGCCTTCTCACCTTTGCCCGCCTAGGGTACCCAGCCCGCCTTTCGTCTAATAGGAAATGGCACTTTTTGCAAATTTGAAATTTCTTGGGTAACCAAATAAGCTTGGCAGCTAAAATCAAGATGTTGCCAAATATCTATTTCCTTTGCCTAAGGCTAATTACCCAGTCTGATTGCTTTAATTTTTAATGTCTTTTAATGTCCTATCTCAAAAGGACAATCAGTACATTTGCTTTTCTCTCCGCAGAATCCCTAATCTCAACCATGTATATCTGGACTGTCCAATTTTCTTTTTGTGCTACCTTCTCTTATATATAAAAAAGCAGATTATATGCCAAGAGTCCGTTGTCTCCAGCAATTACTGCTATATCTTCCAAGTAGACTGTTTCCTTTTACAATTAAATTATTGTATTTATTAATTTGAATCCAGCAAATCCTTTCTCTAATCTGGCTATACTGTCAATAAAAAGGTGAAAGCAACAAGTTGATTTTTTAGCTTGACTGTTGATTGAGCGTTCTCAGATGGGCATGCGTCAGCGTCACAGCAGGCTGTGACCGGATTCTGTTCTGTATCATCACATAAGGTGTAATGGTTGCTGCAAAGCACTTGCAAGTGCTCCTCTCTTCACCTCAGTGTGTCAGCAGCCACAGATACTTTCTCTGAGCATCACCCTCTGACCAGAGACTGAGCAGCAAGTGATCAAAGTTACTTTCCCTATCACCACCACCACCACCACCTACTAATAACAAAGATCCAGGAATACTTAGTAGTAGCAGAATATTTTTCAGACACAGAATCCAGCTAATCTCAGAATGGCCCCTTTTTATAAATTCTTAAAGGAGATCTCCTAAGAGCAAATGAAGATGCTCATTTTCTGCATAAGGAAGTTACCATCATTCAGAGAGAATTCATGTGATGGGTTCATCCCTAAAGTACAATAGAACAACCCTTGGAAGATGCTGGTCTTCACTGTTCTTAGAGTCCTCTGATTTCAGAAAACGACTAAAAAATATAATGCAGCAGGAAGGTGGCACCCATGAACATATGGTGAGTAACAAAAATGAGACCAGAATTTGTTTTCAGATACTGCCGAGCTCATTCCGTAGCCTTGGACATTTTTCTTGAACTCCAGCAGTCTGGAATCTTGCCTCTCTGGTGAGCAACACTTCTAAATCAGAATAAATGTAGTCCGCAGCTCGCTCTCTTTAATGATCCCCTTTCAGATCCAGAAAATCAGGCAACAACAGTGATGTGTCCCTTCTAATCCCAAGTACCTACTCCTACTTTTGGTCTGTGCTTCCTCAAGCAAGAGGAATGTGTCCCCAAAGCTAGCTCGGCCTTCTAGTCCTGGTGGATCTCTGACAGCCCTATCGTTCTACCTTGGGCTTTGAAATATAAAAGCAACAGACCCGTGGTATTCTTGTACACGTAACAGCTGCGGCCCTGTCGGGGTGACGGTCCCCACGACTAGCTGGGGGTGTTTGAGATGACGACAGACTACTTGAGCCAGAGAATGATCCACATCTGGTGTTTTCCTCCTCTTGTTCACGCCTGTCACCTCCTCCTGGTGTAAAATCCCCAAAGCTGGGCTTCAGTACGCAGACCCTTGTTAGGTAAGTACACTGCTGCTATACGGTACTGTATGCTGTTCATGCAGTTCAACACATGCAAAAATAAACCTCTTTGGTTTCGAGATCCTGAAGATTAGTTTCACTGGCTATTTTTCAAAACAAAGGAGAAAGCTGAGCTAAATGTTTCTGCTAAAATAATATACCCATCATTTAAAGCATTATTTATACAAATGCACTTTATTGTTTTAAACAGAACAAAAGAAGAGGCAGAAAATATTTGCATATAACAAATCCTAGCTTATAAATTGTAGTTTTTTGTGATGATGTCTCTAATCAGTCTTCAGGGATTTTTTTTTTTTTTTAATTTGTTTCACTGTGTCTTGAGCACTGATATTAGAGAAAAGCACATCGGCATAAAGTGTAAACCAGTGTCTCAAAACACTGGAAGAACCTGGAGAGCAGACATGATTTTTCTTATTTCCTCTAAGTAATCTTTCATAAAACAAAAGGTGATCTTTGGCATAGATTCATACTTTAAAGGCATTGATATTGCATTTATATCAGGTAAGCAACTATACAAATATACTGAGGGCCTTGAAAATAATATTCATCAGTTAAAAGAAAATAGAGGAAGCCTGAGTGTACAGTACCAACTGAAGACAAGTTTTACACAGTAGATGTTGGGATTTAACACACATTGGAAGTGAGAAGAAAGGACATTCAGGCAACAGTTCTTACTCCTTTACTCATCCAGTTCTGGCTTTGGGAAGAAGTAGGATTTCACGTGCTGGGCAATGCTTAGACAGCAGTGACAATGCAGAAAAGGAAAAATTCTTCTCTCTCACTTTGCTAACAGGAAACTAAGGTAATAATTAAATATTCTATCCATTACTCATGAGCATTTGTACTGGGCAGGGAGGAGGGGGTACCAGGGACTTGGTTAAGGGAGGTAGGAATATATTGAGCACTGTTTCCCACTGATTCATCCCCAATGGTGCCAAAGTTCCAGACGGCAAGTCCCAACGTCCCTTAGATAGGAAGTGCCCTTCAGACAGGATTGCCTTTCTATTAAACATTCCTGGGCGGCAAGCACCGGTTCTTAGGTGAGTTTCCAAAGGACAAAAAGGATCTTTCAAAATCACAATGAACAAACACACATCTTTAAAATCTTGTTTAGGAAGGGTATGAGGGAAGAATACAAAAGCCAGGATTGGGGACATGATTTGGTTAAAAACTAAATGCAGCATTACAGCTCAGAAAGAACAGCAAGAGCTAAGAATGAATGATAAGGCCTCAGCACAGATCTCTGCAGGCAGTGACAAAGCATGAGGCGCCTGAGAGTGGCCATGCCGGGAAGAAGGGCAGGGCCTCGCCCGGCTACTCTGCCCCTCCGGCGGCAGAGAGCACCAGGACACACAGTGTGTGGGATGGCTACCTTCACAGGCCAAGGCGGGATATAGGACAGGAAGCTTCCCTAGCACAGACGTTGCTCAGGGGCAAGGTAAAGACAGAATCGTGTGATTCTGTGACTTCCTCCTGAGAGTGAAATTTGGTTTTGCACTGTGGGAAGTGAGAAGGATTAACCTGGGGAAGGGCAAGAGGTGAATCCAGGCCCCATGCGCTGGGGCTCCCCAGAGGCCATCTTCCCTTGTAGCAGCAAAGCTCACTTCTGAAAAGGACCCAGATAGCACAGCCAGGGTCAGGAGCAACACGGAAAGCCAAAACAAATTTTGGAGGCACAGTGATTTCCTTCTTAACTAACTTGCCTGGGCCTGGGTCTTGGGACCCTGGTGGGGAGGACTGGAGGGGAGGGGGAAGAGAAAAGGAAGCAGAAGAGGAACTGTCCCCTAGGGAACGAGGGCGGAGCAGGGTGTTCAGTCTTGGCTTCTGAGCTTGTGTGAAGTCCATGGGCTAGAAACCCAGCCTTCCTATTGGGATAGAGTGTGCACGAGTATAACTGTGTTGGAGAATACAGGCTTTATACGGAGAAACATTTCAAAGTGTCCATGACAAGAGTATAAATGGTTTCTAAAGTGAAGAGGCCCCATTCCTTTCTGTTATGTCAGGCCAGGATGTGGCCAATAACCCCCTAGCAATTCACGGCATCTTCTGGGACTCAGATCATTTCATTCTAGTTAGTAGGGGTTTCTGTGCCAACCAGGTTTGACTAGCTGCCTACTGGTACCAGGGAGTCTTTCTAACCCAGCGTAGTGTAAATCCAGCATCTGTTCGAATTTTGATTGAAGCAGCTTCTGCTTCTCGAACGGTCTCCTTCACAGACTGCATAAGGTTCTGGGCATTGTGAACCAGCATCTCTGTGGCCTGCAAGGAAAGAGAAACTCTCCATTACTTGTCATCCCAGAGGCGGCCCTTCCTTCAAAACCAGCCCAAGCTAGGCGCGGGCTGCAGGTCCCCCTGCCTGCGGCCGGGATCCCTGTACTTGTCGCATCACTGGGAGGTTAGGGGGAGCATGAAAAAGAACCCAAAAAACCCACCCCTGATTATGTACTATACCCTCAACCGGCCTCTAGCATGTACTCTTGCCTGCTCTTCAAACAAGCTTCTGCCTCGGGCTCTCACTGTTCCCTCTACCGGGAATGCTTTTCCCTCATGGCTCAGCCCTCACCTCCTTCAGATCTTCACTCAGAAGTCACTTTGGTGAGGCACCCCCTGCTCACCTTACCTTAAATCACAAACACCTTCCCAAGTGACAGCATTGCTCATCCTCCAAGTCTTCATTTTTCTCCATAGAACCCATCCT